ACTCACACATAAAATATGTGTATATATACATATGTATATATATATGATCATATATATATGATCATGTATATATATATGATCATTCACAAACTCTTGCTGGTGAAACTTGATATCGCTGACTTACAGTCTTTGGTTATACACACATAGACGGGGAGCCCAGTGAGGTTTAATTAGCAATTTGCGCCCAAAAGGTTTGAGGTGTACATTGCATAGGGTGTGGCCAGGGATCTTAGGAATGGGGATTCTTAACTTCCGTAAATGTGGAATAAGCTAGGGGGCGCCACTGAAATGACCCCCAGAATTGGCTTTAATTAGCAATTCGTGCCCAAACAACGTACCACCCTTTATTTAGTGATATTGGTGTACTGATCTCAGAATGACAACTTAAGAAAAAAAATTCAGTGGGAAAAACCACTTAAGAAGCACACTAATTAGCACTAATTAAGGGGTCTAATTAGCAATTTGAAACTTGTTCTAAAACATAGGTGAGAGTGAACAAAATCAATATCACTTACTTAAGAAAGTATTATTTGTGGGATTCCTTACTTAAGAAAGCAGTGCAACCCCAAGTACCTCCCCCCCAGAAATGGACTGTAATTAGCATTCCGTGTCCAAACAAGATACCACCCTTTATTTAATTGCATTGGTGTACTAATTTCAAAATGATAACTTAAGAAAAAAATTCAGTGGTAGAGACCACTTAAGAAGCACATTAATTAAGGGGTCTAATTAGCAATTTGAGCCCATCAACGAAATCTGTGCCAAAACATCCGTGAGGGTATCGAAAATCAATATCACTAACTTAAGAAAGTATCATCTGTGGGATTCCTTACTTAAGAAGGGGCACAAACTCTCCCCCACCCCCCGAAATGAACTTTAGCAATTCGTACCCAAACAAGACATAGGGAAAGCCTTTATTTAACTGTACTGTTGCAGTGATCTCAAAAGTATAACTTGGGAAAATATTTTCAGTGGGTAAGGACAACTACAAAGTCCACTGATTAGCATCAATTTGAGCCCATTTTACAGGCGGAAGTAACCAAAATTACCTAAGAAGGCAGCGCCACCACTCCTGACAAAACATCCTTTATAAACAAAACTTATTAATTCAACAATTAAAACGTTATGAATAATGACTATATAAATCTTTGTAGACTTTACAAACTCACGGAAAAATGTGAGTAGTCCTAACATCAAACAAAAACAAAAAACACTGGTGTTATCCAACTGAGTTGTTGCTGGTCATCATGGACGTTAAGTTATGTCACAGTGCACAATTACTGAAGCAATCAATGTCAATTTCCATGTTTAGCACAAATAAAAACTATGTAAGGTGCAACCCACAAGACCCAGTGGTATACATACACCTAAAAATAAAATTACTTTAGACAGTCAAATATTAATTTTGTGCTAGACTCCCGTTATCCAAATCGAACTACCTCCTGAACATCAGAAGTACTCGGCATCTTCAACTATCTCCTCATCGGATCCAAGATCCCTGGTTTCATCATCTGAAGATAGAATAAAGTCATCTTCAGCGTTCCGAATGAAATCATCTTCAGGGTCACCTGCATTGGAAGATGTGTCTACTTCCTCTGGAACCAATGTATCAGGAACCTGCTGACCTTCGAACCACACGATGCTGTAGGTATCTCCCTCAAGCTCCCAGCCGTCATGTTGTTTCGGATGCTGTTCTATCTCTTTTTGGTCTGCATTTGCCCACATTCTGGCAATGAATGCTGAGCGATTGATATGGGCCATAAGTTCTGATTCACAAGGTGGCAGTCCACTGGCATCTATCCCTTTCAATTTGTCTAGCGGATTCTTGGCTGATGCTTTTGGACCATAGGCCTTTTCAAATACCTTGTATCTGCACTTGTTCAGAGACATCACACTCTCCTTTGGTTTTGCACCGTATACTGAAGTTGTGAATGCTTGGAGTGACTTGTGGTTTGTGGCTATTACTTCCCTTTTGGATACAAGACTGGCAAAAATGCGTTGCATGTCCTTGCTCTTCTCTAGTTTCGCAAATGGTCTTTTCTTTCCTTTTTTCACGAAGGCAAACGTATAATCACATCCTGTGAATGCATGAAAGGCAGGGAGTGACTTGCATAAGAGTGAACCTAACACCTTCCCAATGGCTGTGAGATTGATGTATCTCCTTGTATTTTTGGCATTGGTCCCTGTATCCATCCACAAGGTGGCCGTGAATGTTGAAGAATGGTACAGGAGAATGACGGCGATGTCTGTGTCGCTTGCTCTTACAACAATATTTCCTGTTTCTCCATTAATTTCCATGCACCTAGCATGAAAGCATACCAAGGTGTCAGCTTCTTCATGATTTGTAGCCATGTCTTCAACTGACTCGCGAATCACTTGGCCATCCAGAACGAAGAAGTGATAACAGTAGCCACGAAATCCTAGGTAGACATCACGTGTGCCAATGATGTGGGCGTAGGACTGATCTTTCCATTCTTCAGCGATGAAGAGTGGAAACTGT